GGGCACACGGCCGGCGCGCCACGAAAAGGGCTGGTGGAGGCAGAGACTTCAGCACTGACATCTTTATTTTCCCCTCCCCGCACGTACACGGCARACGGATAATGTTCACGGCTCTTGCCCCACCCCAACGCCGCCTGACACACAGGTCCTGGCTCCAGAGCAGTCCCGCGGTATCCATGGAGAGCGGCCGACACGGTTAGTGAGGAAGCTGTGGTACTGAGGAGATCCTGCGCTGTTACAGATCATGAATTTTCATGCGTGATAGAATGGTCGCTGCGAGACAACACCTGAACTCAAGGCAGARGTTAAAAATACATCAGAAGGGAGTAGCACACAAGTCATGTCTTGGGTACAGCCGTAACAGTAATGCTGGGGGGAAGGGTAAGGCATGAACAAATAAAGAAGGCATTCAACAAATAACTTTTCTAAATAAGTAACTGAAGCCCAGCACAAAAACGAAGTTATCTCCTCAGGTCCATGGAAGGAAGTATACAAAACACCTAAACTAGCATTCCAAGACTGACATTTCTTATGGGATACTGGGCATTCATTGCTGGGAATGYTGACATCCCAGCTCTGCTTTTTCACCCCTCCTAAAAAAGGCACTCAGCGCCTGTAACGCTCTTCTTCACCACCTTAGAAGCTTCCCCAGGTGTGCTCCGGGCAGGGAAKAGGCTGCAGTGTGCACAGAGGACAGGACATCTGTGCAGAATGATAGCCTGGAGCACCCAGTTATGGGGGAAGGAGATGTTCTGTTAGCATTGATAAATTTGTATGTCTACATTCACAAGTAGTATTTTCCAGAACAYTGGATTAAAACCACCCTTATGTTGGTCTAACATGTAAAAAGAGAATTAAAACACGCATCTTATCTGGTGACTTGAAAAACTCCAAGCCCGCAYAGAGCCAGGTTAGAGAGCTTCAAAGACAAATTCAGCTGAACAGTAATATGAACAATGTAATATGTAATGAAGTAAGTGCAAAAARATCCTTTCCATTATATTACACTTTCCCAAATGCAATAGGTTATCATGTAGTGTTTACACAGTAAAAACTATAATATTTTCAGAACTTTTTCACACCGCTCAGAGATGTCACCAATATGATAAACTCAAATACAGAAACTTTAAATATTCTAATAAAAATAGCTTTCTTTTAATAAACCACAAGTAAGTAGAAGGCAAATATACCAGAGTATGCATAGCTTTCAAAATGTAAAGCACATCATGAACAACTGAGTTTCCTTCTTCATTTATCTGATATARTGAATCTTATTTACCTTAACAAGTMAAGATATGGGGACAACGTTGTTATTTTGKATACACATACTGGAGAGCATAGATGGGAGAAAGAAATTTAGAGGACAAAAATCATACAATTCTGTGTATTTAGAACACACATGCTGTATGCTCTGAACTTCCCTGAAAACACAGTGCAACTCAGTGCATATACTGAATTAAATCCAGAGACAGTATACTTTTATTCCTTTGAAAAAATACTGTTTTAAAAATACTCAGTGTCCTCTAAACTTTGACTTATTTTATGGAACTATAGCTTTAAATTTAGTTTTCATATGCAAAATATTTACATTTTATAAAGTTGCAGAATTTCTAATAAACTATATTATATATACTTACACAAAACTTAATTTATATATAATCCTATAATATCTTGCAGATCAAAACTCACCACATGTACAATAATTTACAATGACATACTCCTCAAGCATTAAAATATCTCCTTTAAAATAACAATATTAGAATCCTCTAGATTCTGAATTGCAGTGTTTCCTGGATTGCCTGAATATCATTAAACTTCTAAGAATATGCAAAATTTTAATTAAATATCAAGAGCAAAGTCTGTGCTGTCATAAGAAATGCTTGCAACTATTTAAAAAATACCTGAAAGGAACAAATTAAACATTTACAAAAAGCCTCTGAAAGGCAGGCTTGAAACTAGAGCTCACTTGACTGTTCAATATAAGTGCACAYACTATATGCAAATTTTGGATACCGAAGCCCCTTAAATACTTAAGAATAAATTTGATGAACAAAAGTTAAATTAAACAGTAAAGTATAAATGTACAAGTTTTCAAAATTATTTATAACTGACAATTTTTGCCTACTTTGGTATAAAAGCTCCTTTAAACAGGCACATTTACTTTTAGAAGACAAACAAGCTTTAATACTATGGCTATTGCTGGATATTTAAGCAATGTCTCTGTGGTTCCGTTTTTAATTATTTAAACTTTCTTTAGAAACATTTTATTCTGTACTAATCCAAAGAACCAATACTGTCCACAGTGATAATTTGTACTATACTTTAGTGCTGAACAGCTAGCCCAAACAGAACTTCTCAGAATCCAGTACAATTATCATTTGTTCTTTTAAAAAAATAAAATCAATTTACAAGAAAATTTTTTTTTGGTATCTACTGAGCTATTTCAATTTTTTATTTAGAAGCATATCAGTTAAATGCCTTCCATATTTCTGTTTATTTCAAAAAAGGAAAATCTGGAATTCTTGGGTAACCAGAAAATTCCAACACTTCTCTCTGAAATCTTAGAATAGAATTTATTTTCCTCTCATGAACTCCACAAATGTATTCCTAACAGGAATACACATACCTAATTTTATACAGTGTGAATATTCCTATTGCCATTAATGTGTTTATTCATGACATGTAAGACTGAGCATGAATTTCCTTATAGGAACATGATCTACAATAAAATAAATTAAAGCATTCTTATGAAAACAAAAATCAATTTCATTCCAATTGTACCAGATCTACCAAAATAACTCTTAAAGCCCTCCATAGCTATTGAGTTGATTAATAATGTTCCCAGTCCACAGGTTCTGAAAGGCACGTAATCGAAGAGTTGGGTTTGTTTATTTGTTTTGAAGTCCTCCCCAAATGAAGAGAGTCTAAAATAATTTGTGTTAGGACAGTCTAATGTAAGGCATTAGAATATTCCTCTTTATGCTATAGATCTATGTTAAGCACCACTTGCTATTACAGTATAGAAAGAAGCCAACGTTTTCTTCAAAAATGTGTTTGTACTTGGGACATCATTTGTGAGGGAGATGTTGATGAGGCTGATGAATTGGATATCTTAGAATTATTTGTGATCTGTAGCTCTTCRATTCTCCTGATATAATCATCACGCAATGCAAGGAGCTCCATGTAACGCTGCTCCACGGGGTTTGGCTGCTAGAAAGAGATCCATGTTAGTCTTAGCACTTCAACTAATTGYACACAGGCTGCTGGAGCATCCAAGGCTTCCTGGCAGGTATAGCAAGTCGTAGCTAAACAYAAMTACTCATTTCTGCTACCTGAGCATCCTCTGCCTTCCAGTTGTCTCCCCCAAAGTTMATCTTTCCACAAAACTCTTAGTCCTAACTCAACAAAATCAGCCATCACTTCCTGGAGCATATGGATTTTATTTTTTTGTTACCTAATATGAAAGGTTTTTTTTTTTTACTTACTAAAAGGTTTGTGTTCAGAAGCCAAATGTCTCAGTATCTTCCCTAAAAATAGTGTTTAGCCAGATTATTTTAGCTATGCTGATCACATTAAGATCCACGACTTCACACAAAACAGATTTTCTTGCTGATGAACTTTACCTGGGTTTTTAATAGTAAATTTGCAACTTAGTGTAAATAAACAAGTGAAATAAAAGCACTTAATTACTGAATTCTTTAAGTAAACTTATGTATGTGTTTAAAATAAACTGCTTTGGCTTTCAGGAGATTACTCAGGAAGAGCCTTTAAACTCCTTCGACTTTGAGCTTAAYTTCCTTTTCAGAGTAATGAAATAAATGGAAAGCAGTATTGCAAAAATCCAAGGCAGGTACAGAACCTAAAGTTACCTTCAGCTGAATATAGCTGTCTCAAAGTTGCTGCTGTTTCACAGTTAGACCTGCCTGCAATTCAAAGCTATCAGCAGTGCAGTTTCAGCAGCAAATGTTTAAACACCTCACCAGTTCCAAACCAGTTCAACCAGCACTCTGAGATGCACCACTCACTATGCACCCATATGAGGTGATGGTGCTGAGGCAACTGTGGAAGTTGGATCAATGCTGAATGTAGGTACTTAAGATGACTGGTGATGTAGGATAATGCTAGCAGAACATGCTTCTAAAAAATGGCACTAAGAAAGGTCATTAAAAAAATGGTTCAGGCCACATGTTCATTATTCAGTTGCTTAAGTGAAGATCAAGCATACACTTCATGTGCAGAAAAAAACCCTTGCATTTTGTGTAGAAAAATGGTGAAAAGAGGGACTAGTAGTAGGAGTATATGGAATATTGTCACTTGGGTGTGCATTTTTAATGAGAAAATCCTGACAAAAACCTATCCTGAACAATGGCAAAGTGTATTTTAAAGTAGAACTACAGCTAATTTGCATGTCTTGTAATCCTTCACTTTCTAAAATAAAACTCTGGATTCACCTATTGCAAAACACCCTCATCTTTCACAACAAGAAACAAAGAAAAAAAACAGACCTTCAAATTAAAATAAGCAACATACTCATAAAAAGCCATTGCAAACTGCCTGACTTCCCTGAAGCCTCTGAAGTGCTGTAAATAATACAGGAGACCAGCTGTGGAAAGGCAAGTGTATTGCTTGAAAACTTGTGACTTATTCCGAGGGCTAGACTGTGAAGGCTGCTTCTGTCAAACAAATTGCTCCTCTATCTTCTACTCAAACCTCCTCAAATTGCTAAGAAGGAAAAAAAAGTCTCTCTATACTATCTTTATGTGCCACATGGCTGAGACTTCTAGCAAGGCTGCAACAAACATTGAGCGTCCATATGCATTAAAAGCACAGAACTGAACTATGTGTCATTTGATAAAAGCTTTTCTGAACTTCCAAGTCTGATCCACTTGTATAATTTTCAATAACAGCWTTCATCCACAGTGTAAACAATGCTGGGTCATCAACGTTACGGTAAAAAAATTAAATCTTACAATCAATACATATAGTTTTGAAAGAGAAAGGACTGAATAGGTCACTTCATCTGTAAAGGGCTTTGTACCCTTTATCAGAAAAAGGAGAAAAACCAAGCAAATGCAATTAAGTGTGTTTGTGTTGCTAATGCCCCAAACTCTTCATGGATCAGCAAGCCCTATTTCTAAGCATTGTCATTCAGGATTTAGTAGCATTGAATGCCCTTAGACATAAGTCCAGGAAAAAGGGCTAGAAAGAGCTCAAGGATGACTTGCTATTAAACAGTGAAGTAAGTTCAATGAGCTAACCTGAGAATTTCATAATTATTTTCACTTTTTTACTCCATTTTTACAAATATAACATTAGGAACCTGAACAGATTACAGGTACTGCCCTACAAGTCAGTTATGACACAAAATCCATACTTCCAAAGTCTAAAAGCATTTTTCATACATTACAGAGAATTGACTTACTTGTTGCCGAATCCTTGGGTTCCACCTGATGTAGTAATTGACCCAGAGCTCTAAGTGCCTCATGCTGGCTACTGGATAGAGTGCTCGGTTTAGCTCTTTACTATAAAAAGGGTTGGTGTATTTAGATTTTTCACTGTTTATCAAAGACCATAACGATAATGTTTTCTCAGTCACTTTCTAAAATGAAATTAAAAGAAGAACAGTAAGTATTTGCATAAAATCAAGAAATCCATCATAGAAGCCATGTTTACAGTCTAAAATTAATACACTTCTGGTTTACTTAGAAGCCTAATACATTACTGTATTAGAAAGATTCCAAACCAGTGCTTKACAAGTATTTTAGTGACTCCATGGCACTATTCTTTAAGAAAAAAGCCAGTTCAAAATCACTGTCTGCAGGGACTATAGCCAAATACAATACCAAAAACAAAAGCTTTTGCCATTACCTAGAATAAARACAGCAATGCAATTAAACAATCTGGAGTTTGACTAACCTCTTTTTCTCTGATAAATTCGCTGTTATACAAGAAAGTGCCAAACCGGCAGCTGTACAAGTGATCCAGGATTGTAATCAGGAACTGCTCATTGAATTCAAAGGCTGTAGGAAACTAAAAYCAGGAAAGACAAATTCATTGTTTGCACGAAAAAGCAGGGGGATATACACGTGCCCTAGTTAGAAGGCTAAAGGTRGAGTTTAGAAGCCTGGATATATTTACAAATAAGTTTTAAGGTATTACTTTTACGTGCTTTATAGCAGACTAAGTGTTCAGATGACACAAGGCKTTCAACTTTCTCAAACTARCCACTGCAAAAACTCTTCTCAAAATGGTCTACCTACCTTTATTTCATAAAAAGAATAAAATATAGAATGGTTATGCATACATTTTTACTAGCAAGACAGAAAAGATATCTACAGTGCACTGTTACAGTGCAGCATCATACAGGAAAATGAAAATCCTGATCCTTGGCCCTAAAGGGACTAAGTTCACTCCTTTGTTTCATTATTTATTGACCATGCAATGTTTAAATCACAGCACTCAAAAACTCCCTAGCTTCCTTTTYAAGCAAAGGACAAAACAACATGTGTCCCTGCAGTTGAAGGAACAGCTTCACAAAATGGTCAAACAAACAACAGACCCCATYAAGGCAGCTGGATGAAATTCCTGTAAAAGCTTTCTGCCGGGTATGAAATACCCTCAGTATGTGTCCAAAAACCCCATATCCAAGAACACCAGTGGTGCCTGCACAGCCAGTGCCATGTCCAGTAACGTAACCACAGCTTGTGTACCACTTTTAGAAAAGTAAATACACTTCTTTTACTACAGGTCAGAGCAGAGGGGTATGCTGTCCTCTTCAAATACTTTTTCAAAAAATACAGATGTAGGGTTTTAATTCAGTAATCTCTTCACACTGGAAGAACAACACAACGTACCTGTTTAGACATCTGCCACACACAATCAATAAACTGGAGAAAGATGGGTGATCTGTCTGCATCAGCATGATTTTTATCACCATGGCCTATTCTCTGAAATGAAGCAATACAGCCTCCTGTTAACCAAAACAGGCTATTTTATGGCAACAGACATGGTTTCTTATTTTGTACTAGAGTATTAATTCTTTTGCAGTAAAGCAACCCAGTATTAACATTTCAAAATTAGTTATTCCATCAAGAGAGATTCAGATATACAGAAATATTGCAAAGGTGTTCCAAAGATGTCTGAAAAAAAATCTGAAGTGACAATTGTTTCTGTTAGAAAAACCTGCTGCTTATTGGACAAGCTGAACTGTTGAAGCAACCATTACTTAACAAATAATCAAGACATATTCTGAGCTATATTTACATGGTAAGTCTATCACAAGCCAAGCTACATACTTTATCTTCTTTTTTATTTTAAGCCACTGTAGATCTAAGCCTAGATCATCAAACTATCCATACATAACTTTCTCTYTCCCCTCCACACTTGAACCTTAACATTCACCCTGACGTAGTAGCAAACACAGACAAGATCAAGGAAATGTTCATGTTCTTGACACAAACTTAACACAAATTTTTAAAGTTTGAGTGAGCTCTTTATTCTGATGAGTCCAAAGTAACGATCAAAGGAATTTGCCCTATAGACAAAAGCAGATTTGGTAAAAGCTGTTTACTTCCTTCTTGAATTTGATAACTGAGAACAGGCAAGAGATTCAGGGAAAAAGAGTTTCTGTTCACTCCACAATTCTGTTTGAATGGACTTGCCTGGAGGAGACAAAAGAGRAGCATGTGTGTTGACCTAAGATGTTGTCTATCTGCCTGTAAGATAGCAAGCTTAATGCCTCAAGGACATGAAAAATCATAAAAGCAGTACACTACTCAGTACAATGGCTTGCAAGATAGTTTAAAATAATAGAATTGAATGGCAGGAAATACAGGGAGATGAGGAATTGCAGCTAAACTCAGTCAACAGTAACAAATGACTAGAAAAGCACTACAAAGAAGGCAAACAAATTGGTTTCCTCACTCAGTTTTCATGGCTTGAAATACTTATTATCCATTAAGAGTCATATATGTGTTTAGTAAGGAGTGAAGTCYGTGCGCTTCCACCACAGTTAGCAGTTTCAGGATGTCTGAATATCTTCCATCTATAATTGTGTTTCATATTTCTCATACTACAATGCATAATTAGAATTAAATTCCACATAACAAGCAGATTTATCATCTGGAGAATGCACTAAGTTCACCACACATAGGAAAGTTGGGGTATGGAATTCCTTTTCAACAATGAAAACTTATTCCTCACTTTATCAGATATAAAATACGGGGAGGAACTATTAAATAGTCTGCTATTTTTTTTTTACTTGATATTATTAAACCAAATTACAACCCTGGTACCATAAAAACATGGAGYTTGCTCCAATTCAGGCAATATAAATAACATCCTACTCTTCAACTCCCTCCTAATGGAAAAATGAAACAACAACAGTTTCAGAGATGAGGTTCAGGAACTGCCCTAACTGCATTGAGWGCCTAGTTCACACTATCTAAATTCACAGTTTTATCAAATAATTACCAAACTAAAACTATACTTTTATCATAGAATAGTTAAGATTAGAAAATACCTTTAAGATCGGTGAGTCCAACTGTTAACCCAGAACTGCCAACCACTAACCCAAGTCCCCAAGCACATCTTTTCAATCTCTCCAGGGCTTTTGACTCCACCACTTCTACAGAACACTCCAGGAAAGACCAATCTTCAYTATAAGCTAAATAACCCATCAAATAAAAATTTACAGTACTCAGATTACAGCAGATGGCTAAAGAGTAGCTTCAACCATTTCCAAAGATTGCTACTTGAGTGAGCAAGTTGGGAAAATAAAATAGCAGTTAAAGCAAAAGCAGCTACTTAAATCATTCTTATTGCTGCTGCATTGTCAGACAGGAACCAATGGACTGAGCGAGTCATCTGCAASGGATGCCAAGTCCTGCCTCACTGTTAGGAGAAAAACATCTGTTGAGGGAGAACAAAATCCTTTGATTACCCAACTAAAAAGGATGGTTTAACTAAAGGAACCAAGGATTATTTGAATTTATTAATAATGATGAAGACACAGATCTCTCTTTTTAAGCTTTGTGTTAAACCATCACACATGTTTAACTACAAGTCTCCTAGTTACACCATCTAATTTTACCTGCATCCTGACACTTAGGTTTTTTTAAAAATACAAAATAAAGAATGAGAATAAAAAGTTAAGCCACTGGCCTCACATTTTCTTGTGGCTGTACCAAGACAGAATACTTGAAGCTTTATAAAACATAACACTACTAGAAGACCATAAGTAAGTATACAAAAAGCCAGACTACACCAGCTATCACTCCCAACCAAAATACCGATCTCCTAAGCCTCAAAGCAMCTTCAGAATGTCAGATCAAAAAATGCCACAGCCTGCAAGCACCTGTGAATGGTGAAGTGATTCATGTTGAGTAGCCATACATGGATTCCTAACTACTTAACCTTCTCAGCATCCAGAAGACAACTGAACAGCAGTCCCAGCACAACCAGTGACAGCCTCTTGGGAGTTATTATGACAACTTCAGAGTATTTGGGAAGCAGCATGCAAAGTCCCACTTAAAAGACCAGACTCATTCATTCACTTCTTGTGACATTCAAAACAGTCCAATGCAAGAGTGATGGAGAACCTTACGTCCCAGCTTTATCTGATCTTGAGCAGAAAAATTTGAGGACAAATTTTTCTGCTTTATTTTTATTTTCTGCTTTATTTTTCTGCTTTATTTTTTTTGCTCAACAACCACAGTAACCCTAGCAATTTTATGCTTTTAAAAGGATGCAAASGACAAAATAAGAGTTCTCAGAGAAAGAATAACAATAAAAACATTGACCAAACAAGCCCAAAACTAAAAGCTTTGCTCAGTTTACCTGGAAATGTATTAAATCCAAATTCCAAAATAATGAAAGGCCTTATCAAACCCTGATGCAAAGCGAGCAGTTAAACACCGAAAGCTTTTCAGAAAGTTAATACTGGATTCTTTGCAATTATCTTCTAATTCTTACCGATGCAAACTTGTGTCCAAAGCTTAGCCATTCCTTTTGCACCAGAACTTCAAAGCCCTCAATGGTTCTGTAGTAGCTGTCGAGCATGAGCATGGCCAGGGAGGTGAGCTGAGCCGTGCGRTCCCAGCCGTCGCTGCAGTGAACCAGCACCGAGCTGCGCCCCGAGGACACCTTGTCTGCCACCTGAATGGCTCCTGTCAGCACCAGCTGGAGAGGAGCAACACACACCAAACAAACAACACTGCTTATTTCTGCTCGAAACAACACTAAGGTGATTTATTTGTGCCTACACAGTATCGAAATGAATAGTGTTTCTATTAAAGCACCTGAAAAGAGTGGTGCAGTTAATTGAAAGAGAATTTCCTAGGAGATCAAGTGAATTTCTTGTATAGAAATAGAGAAACAGATTGGTTCCCTAATCCCTTAGTAAGATCAAATTCATCAAACAGCAAATTCTTAAAAAACGGGGCAGAAAACAGTAACCTTGATAAATGAAAGAACATAAGCTGCTTTTTCAAAGAAAGAGGGGATTTACCATAGGATATATTTCTAAAAATTCTGTTATTTCATTTGACTCCTTTCTTTGAACTAAATTATTGAATTATCTCAGTTGTTGGGAAAAGGAGCTTGCACCCTTCTAATATACTTATTTTCCAAATATTAAATTAAAATGAAAATTTTATTAAGTAGGATTCATTACATAATACTCTAATTACTTTTGCACAGCTGTACTTGAAGCAAATGGTTCAAAGGGCAACTAGTAAGAACACTGGTGAATTACCAGCTTAAGTATTTTATTTGTGCTACCAGATGAAAATTTTAAAATTTACAAATAAATTTGCAAGATTCATTTACAAAACCATAATTCACAAAATAAAATCACACAGACACTGACAACTAAAGTATTCACTAATATTTCACAGTGACAGTTATCTGTAGAACTGTACTGGTAGAAACCAAAATAAATCAGTTGTCACACATGTAAAGCAAATCAGACTTAAGAATGCATTCCTCTACTAAAGACATTTAGCTTGAGGCAGACAAACGTTGAATTTCACCTACCATTGCTTACTAATGATATCTCAAAACATACGCTAAGATTATCTGGCAAAAAAAAAGCCACAGCACTCAGGGATGTTGTTTTTGTAGTCCAAGTAGTCTGATGTGTTCTAGGACTATTTCAAAGTTTAGCAAAGAAAGCAAGTGTGATATGACAGATTTGGACAATCATTTTTCAAACAAATCAACGAAAAGTTACCTTTATATGTTCTAACCAATGGGTTGATTCCAGACTTGACAACCAGTGTGATTCTTCCACATTAGGATAAACAATGTCCTTCAGCTTCTTCAAAGATTCCCTCATGACATGAATGTTATGAATATCCAAGAAGAAAAGTTCTGCATTRGGATATGCATCTTCACCTTCATATCCACCCCCAGTTGCCTATAAACAAGAGATCTGAAATTAACTTCAGTCATACACACTCTTCAACAGAGCAAGAAGGGAATGTAATTTGACACTGAAATAGACAAAAGTGATAAAATGTTTGGCTAAGTTAAATTAAATTTAAGAATTCAGTTAAGAATAAGCAACCTTTCATTAAAAAGTTATGTTCAAGAATCCTAGATCCTTAGGAAGTAAATTAGAAATAACATTAAAGCTACTTTAAACTAACTTTTCTAATGCTAAATGTTACTGCTGAAGACTAAGCATATATTTAGACTGTTAAGATGTTAAAGAGCCACATAAGTAAAAAGTCTGTTTTTACTTATKCTCTCAAAACATTTCACCACCACCACAGCTGAGGCTGTGCCTGGTCACAAAAGGAAGCAGCAAATCCACACTTATTTTAGGGCACAAGGCCACTGATGGGACTTTCCAAAGACAGAAACATGAAATCTTTTGGGTTGGAAAAGACCTTTGAGATCATAGACTCTAAACATTAATCCAGCTGTGCCAAGTCCACCACTAAACTATGTCCCCAAGTGCCACATCTTTTAAATAYCCCCAGGGACAGTGATTGATGCCACTTCCCTGGACAGTCTTTCCACAAATAAATTTTTCCTGATATGCAATTTAAACCTCCCCTGGYGCAACCTGAGGCTGTTTCCTCTTGCCCCATCACTTATTACTTGGGAGAAGAGACTGAMCCCCACCTGACTAAAACCTCCTTTCAGGCAGTTGTAGAAAGTGATAAGGTCCCCCAAGCGTCCTTTACTCCAGACTAAACATCACCAGCTCCCTCAAGCTCAGAGGGCTGCAAAATTGCAACATTTCCTGCAGACAGCAAAAATATGCCAGAAATTTGGATAAATAAATTTTGCCTTTATAAGCCGTTGGAATCACCAACTACACATCAGACATGAGCCTAAAGCACCATGGAGCCTTTCCCCACAAGTACCACCAATACTGCCATGCAGCAGCACAGTATCTCTATTCTATGCTCTCTGTCTCCTTTTTCAGATGTGGGGTTATTATCAGAGCTGCCARGCTCTGCACTGAAAGAAGCAATGACTGTATTTTTCTCTTTCCTYTGAGTATTATGAAATCTTGGTGAGGAATGATAGTAATTTCAGCATCAGGGCTGCTGCAGCTCCTGACTGTGAGTCTCGACCTACGTACAAGGAACACAGGAATGCATAAGTAGCACAGCCCAAGACTTTCCTTAGACAAATCTTCACAGCTGTTTGCAAATTTTTTCAGTGCTGATCCACACTAACTTGTGTTTTTTATGTCATTCTCCYTCAGACCCAGAAATATACCCTGCTGCATCTACTGCTCTGATTGAGCATTTCATATTTAGACATATAAGGAGTTAATTAAAATTTGTGCATATCAAATTTGTCTGTAAGACATTATCTTAAATTTTTCCTCAGCTCTTGAACAAACTCAATTTTTTACCCCATTTGTTTCAAAGATATAGTTGACAATCTTTCCACAAGGCAAATAGAAACATTACATGTCTTGTTCACCCATAAAAATTCAGTGTGCAGAGGATAATGGGATTTGTACAGTCAAATGCAAACAATTGAGGCAGACCCTYGAAATACAAACCATCAGGTTAAAACAGCCCCAGGATAGTTTCTGAAAGAATGTGTGCTATACACACGAACATAATAATAAAGCTTAACAACAATATTCTGTATTATAGAGAGGGCAGCTGTACAGCTACAAACAGGGGCACTTAATTTGCACAGAGCAAGCTACTAATATTATTGTCCATTATTTTAAATAATTATTGAATTATTATTGTTCCTCTTGAAAGCTACTAAACATTTGTTACATATAAACCTCTTAGATGCAAACAAGTTCTACCATTTCATGTTCCTTTCAGCACAAACACTGAAGAGGACTATTCGTTTCACTATACTACAGTCTGTTTTGTTCCACAAAACCATCTGGAAGCTAGAATTCCCTCTCTCCAGATAAGCACACTTACCATTTCACTTAGATCTCAAACCCTCTTGAGCTCAGCTCTCATGCTCTTTGCTGTGCACACACACACCATCACTAGTAAATACAGAAGAGCTCGTCCCCTTCATTTGTGTTTAAAGTTCCATGACTAAGGGAAAGTTCCATTTGTGTTTAAAGTTCCATGTGCCCCAGGTGTGGCACATTCTCATATGACAAAAGCATTAAACCTGACTCCTTCACCACCACTCCCTAACATGTTTTTTTCATATAAAGAGGGAGTACATCCTTGTCTACTGTGCTCCATGCCAAAYACAACACTGACACACAGTGTATTGAGCTTGCCTGAGAAATCTAGTCCTCAGCAGTGCTGAGGGGGAAGCAGAAGAGAAATCAATCCATAGGGACACCTCTTTTTCTTGAAAGGTTAGAGGAGATGATTTTTCAAGGTCCCTTCCAGCCTGGGCTGGTGTTTGACTCTGATCTCATTTAGGTTTTGATCACAGATAGCAAGGAAACAGTCACCTTACATGGTGTTTCACTGTTTCTATACTTACTATGGGCAGCTGGGGAAGAACAGCAGGTATCAAGATACCCAAGATCATACATATACTGCTGTTTAGAGTGAAAGCACCCAAATTAACTTATTTATCACTTTCTCTTTATTTGCTGGATGCCAGGATGGGTCTGAAAGTAGTCCATGTAATGGTTAGAAAGAACCAAAGGATGTCTGTCAGTGGGCCTGGCTTCATGCAAACATCCTTTTTAGAATGGAATTTTCCCAAAGGATTTAAAGGTTGCACAGAGGTGACCTGTCATTCCAACAGGGGACATGTTCTACAGCCCAGCCCCCTGCTACCCCCCAGAGCAGAGTGGAGTCATGCCCGACTTCAGTCCCATGCTAAGATCTGTGCTTGGCTGAGAACAGACATGGTAAAGTGTATCTGGAAATTCACATATGGTCCTGAAACTCTGCTTAGGGACCTACTCTAGAACCTCATGTGCTTTCATAGCATTGAGGCTCAGTATATGATTATGTAAATTTATCTATATCAAGATTACTACTATTCCCCAAAACCTCCTCACAGAAAACTTCAAATTAAGTCTCCTCCTCATTCCCTTCAAAAGTAAGACTATTAAAAGCATCTGTTTACCTTGTTTGCAACCGCATTGACATTGGGCCTTGCATCATAGATGGTCAGTTTGGAGATCTGCCCGTTGGCCTCCCTGATGATATCAAGGTATCTTTCATCATCTTTGTTCCTCTTGCCACTCATTCCAACCAGGGGCTGACTGCAGCGCATGATTACAGCCTGGGTCTCGGGATGAATCCATGAGAGAACCTGGCCACATGGCAAACACACAGCAGAACAAACTCATTTTAGTAAANTGGTAAAGTGTATCTGGAAATTCACATATGGTCCTGAAACTCTGCTTAGGGACCTACTCTAGAACCTCATGTGCTTTCATAGCRTTGAGGCTCAGCATATGATTATGTAAATTTATCTATATCAAGATTACTACTATTCCCCAAAACCTCCTCACAGAAAACTTCTAATTAAGTCTCCTCCTCACTTCCTTCAAAAATAAGACTATAAAAAGCATCTGTTTACCTTGTTTGCAACCGCATTGACATTGGGCCTTGCATCATAGATGGTCAATTTGGAGATCTGCCCGTTGGCCTCCCTGATGATATCAAGGTATCTTTCATCATCTTTATTCCTCTTGCCACTCATTCCAACCAGGGGCTGACTGCAGCGCATGATTACAGCCTGGGTCTCGGGATGAATCCATGAGAGAACCTGACCACATGGCAAACACACAGCAGAACAAACTCATTTTAAAAAAAAAAAAAAAAAAATCAAAACTGGAAACTTAAAGCTGTATTCTTTAAAATACACAGTATGAAAATCAGTGCTTTTTTTCTATTTCTTCAAAATACAGTTCCTTGACATCTCAACTGCTTTTACTCCAGTCTCGTAAAATTTAATGACAATCTTTAAAAGAGTGTACTGTCTTACATATTTAATGCTTACTGAAATCATACTTATCTATATAATCCAATGTATTTTAATACTTTCCTACAAGTCTTAGGTTACACAAATAATCCTGATAAGTAGACTARAAACAAACACAGCAATCTCTGCTGAAATCAAGAAACAATTCAAGAGAATGAACTYATTGTAGAAACAGTGGCTAAAATGCTGCAATTCTAAAAGAACAACTTTTCCCYTTTTTTGGATAAGGAAGGGAAATTGAACCTTTCTGCAGTATCTCAAATGTTTTTTCTCCTCTTTAAAGCCCATTTTGTTCCTCAGCCTCTTTACAAAGAGGAGGCACTGGAGCGAAGCACATGCTGTCTTTGTTGYTCTGAGCCAGAGAGGACTTGCCACAAAAGAGACAGTGAGCTGCCCAGGGAACAGATGCAGTGCCAGAGATTAAAGATAAGCAAGAAACCCAAGAAACAGGCAAAAAAATGCAAATTCATTGTTGAAAAGTATTAAGAAACAGAAGTCTCAACCACTCTGAAAGTTGTGGGTTACAGAACGAAAGAATATCAGAGTTCAGAAAAAAAAAACCAAACCCAAACCCAATCCTCAGAAAGTGTGCACTCCTGAAATACACCCCAAGGAGTAGATCAGAAACAAGACCTGCCACTGTGTGTGGGGGTGAGGATAAGTGGCTATTKCCTGACAAGAATGAAATTACTTTTYAAAATTGCTATATTAATAAAATTATTATTAAGGAAATTACTCTCATGGTAAGGCATACCAAAAGGCCTGCCACAAATTCTGAGGTGACAAGGATGACAACGCTAGGTTATTAGAACCATATGCACAGGCTATTCATTACACTGATGTATTCTGAACACATTATATATTATACAAATACACGTGCATGTATATGCAGTAAATTTATAATTATAGATCTAGTCTGTCAGTAAATACCATATCTAATAAGTATTTATCATATTGAGCTGTGCATCTGTTTGAAACTGAGATTCAGAGCAGCTTTTGATACTGGCTAAGAATCCAACATGTCTTCCAAGTTTGCCAAAGAGAAATACCAGTTAAAACAAGTATTGGGATACAAATTAGCATTTTCTATAGTGCCGTAAAGAGCTGATACATAAAAATTCTCTTACCTCAAAGAATTTTCATTACAGAAACACACCCAAGAAGTCGAATGAGTTTCTCTTAAAATTGTACAGATGAGAAAGCCCAATAATTCACTAAAGAGACTATGCATGAGGTCTTATTTTAGGACTGACCAGTGGAACTATATTTAAATGCTATGTGGTTTGCTTGCAGGATAACATTTGTGATCACTTTTTGTGGGCATACAGCAACAGTAACCAGTGCATAGGGCTTCATCAAGGCAAACAGCCCTGCTGGCCAGTGTTACTGGGCAAGTCAAGTTAAAACCAATGAAGATGTCATGGGTGATGGCTGTGGGGGAAAAACGGAAACGTGGCTTGGCCAAGACACCAGTTTCAAGCAGTGAAAACCACCAGCCAATCAAAACTATTCTGCCCTAACCATTTCCAAAAAAAGCATCCTCTGTGTYGTGTTCAGCAAGAAGTTGTTTGGATGCAACTTAAAAGTAGCTAGACCATCAGGCAAGCTCCATCACCTCATACTCACCGGGATTCTATTTCGGGACCTAAAGGCAGCAACTTTCTTGAGATCATCATCTGTTGCATTGTACGGCACCACCAGGAGCGATGGGTACGTGTCACACAGCCCATAATGCTCGTTAATAAATGTCACCCGCCACCGGTCATTAGGCAGCCCCTAAAAAACAACACCAAGKTTTTCAATGTATTTTTGGCTGAACAAATAATAATTCTGCTCTTGAATTTTACATGACATTATGGCCACATGGTGGCAACAACCTACCAATTTAACTAAGCACTGTTTCAAAACAATAGAAGCAAAAGAGATTACAAGACCACACAAACCAGCTCACTGCAGATGGATTCACAGCCTTTAGCAGCTGCAGAGCCATCTCATAACCTTAGGTACACAATTCTAGCCTTAAAGTAAGTTTCAAAACAATAACTGAAACTAGGAGATGTATTTCTTTAACAGTAGCATTAAGGAGAGAAAATTACTCTCTCTCCTTCCTGAAAGCTCTGCCTTTCCACCTTCCCTGGTGAAGACTGTGATCCTGAGCAGCTGGGGGAGAAAGTCTCACTATAACCTTTCTTCCTGTAGCCTGATAACTACCTTCAGGTTAAAAGTAAGACTCAGGTGGACTTTCTTATTGAGAAAGAACATTTCCTGGTTGCACTCTGCCCAGTAAGGCATTTCCAGGAAACTGAGAAATACTGATAAGTCCTCCACATGCACAGTGGGGTTTGTGCGGGTGTTTGTATTTTACCTTTTTTGGGCCTTAGGCTTCTAACCCATGAACCAAAAAACTACTGAGGAAAAGAAAATTAAGGAAGYTCTTATTGTTCGCTATTTAACCTTTTTTAAATGTCATATTTAAATCAAATTATCAAACAGGTAACAAATAACTTAAAACAGACATTTTAAAATGAAATACCATCCCCTTACATGGACATTTTTCCAAGATCACCTAAAGAGCAAAGAAGAATACTGACAGACATCTGTGCTTTTTTTTTTTCCCACTTCACTTTGGGAAGAACAACAAATCCAACCTATGTTTAGGACACTATAGTTGCATATTTGGCACATTCTCCCCACTCTGCGCTCACTTAGCAGTGGCACATTAYAAGAGGCATCAATAAATTCCTTCAAAGAGCAAAGACTACCTTCCTGTGACATTCTAGATTTTTTTAAAGGTTCCAATGTTTTGTGTATTCTTTTTACTTTTCTTGAAGCTGCATTTCCATCCTCTCCCAACAGCTGACCAGAGAAACGTACAAACAGTAATTCCTCTATGCAAGTTGGGAGATGTGAAAGCACCAGACAATGACAACTGTCATAACTTACCTGTCTCCTGTATTCAGACATCGGGTTGTACACCATCCATCCATTTGCAGAAAACTTTTCTTCATTTACAAAGGCAAAAAAAAGCTGTAAGACATAAAAGAGCTTATTACACCAAACTCTGACTGCAAATGGCAAATATGAAGGCTCATCCCCAGTTATACCATAATGCATGCCACAAAATTGGACTGACTGCTCAATGACAGCCCACTATCTCCATTTTTATCTGCTATGTGCCAGACTGTAAAGCAAAGAGCAACAAATAATAATACAGCTCTGCTAATGAAATAATGAAAATATAACAACAGTTAAGAGGTGACAGAACAGAAATGATAAAGCTTAACTGGTTGRATGTTTTCTTTTTTACTGTCAGGAGGCTGAAATGTTTTACAATGCTTTATTTCCTGTATTTCACATTGTCACCAAATAAACTACTGTCTTCCCACCAAATTTCTCCAGTAGGCACAGCTTCAGTTACTACATACAATATTAGATGCTAAATTCAAATTGTAAAAAGCTTTTAATTGCTATTCACTGTCATTAGGAAGCAGCTGCCTTTTTGTATCCCCTCCCTAACTGATCCTTACTAAGAGAAATCCCAGCTACTGGAGAACTCCATGGAAGTTAAAAAGTTGCTGTTGAAAATGAAATTATTAGTTGCTTACAYTACCTGTTTTACACCAGCGTTGCTGCTCATTCTCACAATTCATTTATACAACACAGCAGCCTCATTAAGCATTCCAGCAAGCTCCTCCTACCTTTTGGCTTCCATCTCCTTCCAACAAATTCTGTGTGGGCTGTATTACCTACACTAWACCCCTTTTCCTCCCTTGGTTTATTTCTACAGTTCAGGACGAAAGCAAAAGCAGTATTTATTTTAAGAATCTCTCTCATTGAGAAAGTGGATTTTGGTGGGCTACAAATTCTTTACATGCCAAAAGGAGCAGGAAATGAGAGGAGCATGAAACAAAGTCATTAAAAAAAAAAAAAAAAAAAAAAAAACCAAAAAAAAAACAAAAAAAAAACCAAAAACAAAACAAAAAAAAACCCAAAAAACAGAAAGAAAACAGAAGACAATGTGTTGTCCTGAACTGAGCAACAGCAGCCAGAGCAGAAAACACTCCAGAGCCCATCACAGCTCATCTGTAACAAAAGAGCTGAACGTCTCTTAGTTGACATTAAAAGGAGAAACTAATGCTAAACTGAACATAACACATCTGCATCATTTTCACAGGTGCAGACTGGAACTGAGTGGAAATGCAAAATACCCAGTAGGCAAGAAAAAGAAATTTGTTGTCTAAGGTGCCATGATTCTGCCTGCAAAGGTCCAGAGAAAAGGCAATGCTTCAAACCTGAAGCACTGTGGAGGAGGCTTTGGAAAGCTCCAGGCAATTCTGCTCAGCCCAACATGTTGCATTGGTTTAAACACCAAACAGCTCAAAYCAAAATACAAAACTGAATCCCCTTCAAAAGGAAAAGTTTTTTCCTCATGTAGTTCAAGAAAACAAATATTTTATACGGATGTTACTGCTCATTCAAGATACTTTATCTCATTAGTTCTACAAACTGGAATTTTAAATTAAGTCACTATTTTAGAGCAAGCACACTCACTAGCAAGTTTGCAGCATTAAAAAACAGTGCACTCCCTGGTTTTGTTTTCTTTACCATTTTTTAAAGGGGCAGACCTTCAGTGCAAGTAAACATTACAAATTCTTTTGACTAAGTTAACTGCTATCAAGGGGTACAGAGGGAGAGATGAAGAGGTGGACTCTATCAGAAAAAAAAACCAAAAAACAAACATTCCATTAAAAGTAGATGCAAGTATCAAAAGTTAAGCAAAAAAACCTGAAAAACGTTGTTTAATTGCAAACAAGGAATATAGCAAAATGGTAATGTCCCTATCTGAAGCAGTAGATCCAACTGATTTGCTGAACTAGTAATAAACAGCTACACACAACAACCRTCCCCTCCTCCCAAAGGAATTTGCTATATCCCAAAGAGCAACTATGCTAAGAATTCACCAAGGAACCAGAGACAAAGGAGAATCTTATAACAGCAGGAAACAGAAACACTGGAATCCTAACAGATCACTTAAAAGATGTTTCAAATGTATGAATAAGTTTTGGTTTTTTAAGTAAAGATGCTTTGAAGGCAGGAATAARTTTTTTATTTAAGTTCCTACTTACAGCAAGTTTCCTCATGAGAACCTAAAAATCACCCAGCTGAAGCCCTGGTAAGTAAAACTCATGCGTTTATTGCAGTGCACTGTGATAAGTGTTATATAGAACAGGTTTTTACAGACAGAAATTAAAAAAGGTGTTGCTCCAAACTAAAAATAAATGGCAGCTACACTGCTTGTGTCACCTCCAAAAAATCCACAAGACATCAGAGGCAAATGTGCATTTTGTTTTCACCTTCTAAAAACCCAGGGTTAAATTTATTATGCATGAGGGGATGGATTGAATCCTTTCTGAAAGAACAATGTCCTACTATGTACAGTATGATTCATTTAAAACGCTTGGCTGCAGCAGCTTTACCACATCTGCTACAAAAGCTTTCAGTCACACAGCCCACAACTATTTAAGTGGACAATTATGCTTCATCAGYTTTGTTTACATTCCAGGTAGTACAAATTTTTCCTGTGTTGCTCAATAAAACAAAAAATTCATTRGTAGAATGGATCAACCAGCAAAACCCTGAAGTCCAACAAATCACAGAACACTACAATGAATGCAGAGGTATATGAAGCAAAATTTGGACTCAGATTTTTATGTGAACCAATCAGAGAAAACKCCGACATTATACTACATAAGAACAGTATTAAAAATGACCAGTCTCTAAAATCCTGAACACTAAAAATTATTTTTCTTCTGCAAGCATTGACTAAATTACAACATTTGGATGTGCACCATCATGCCCAGACTGCACAGCTAATCTGGTGACTACTGAAAGTCTTACTTGCTGTTCCACAAGATTAAAGACCTCAATGCCATCCCCACCACCCCTATGGCCTCTCAGTTAAGACTTGATACACTCTGTGAAGMTGGCCTGAGCTTTAGTCCAGGCTAACTGCTGGAGTCTGAAATAGAGCAACATCCCAGCCCTACCTTAGGCCCATTTCTCCCAACAGAATACACCAAGTATTGCTATGTTATACTGTTATTAAATCAGAGTAGGAAAACAAGAACGCAATACTCTGTATACATTCATATTCAATTCATCTAGTTCTATTTAATTTCTAACTATAGTTTAAGTGAAACAAGCAATCCACATTTATAACAATTTTAATGTAAGAATCACATACTTAATGTAAGATGTAAGCTTGGATATAGTTGCATTTTATGAGCTGTGTCAATACAAGCCATATTTAGCACATGTCTGGACATTACTTTTTTTTTGTTTGAAACAAAATGTGATAATGAGCAATATGAAGTAATTTCTACTGAATAACATTTTTTGTTGAATTGGGTATTTTATTGTTCTAATGCACCAAACAGATAAACCACGTTAGAGTCAACAAGTAAAGGTGATAAATACATATTTAGATCCCAGAAGGGTTTGCTGTAGCTCAGGTAAGTTTCACATCTGCACTAATGATATATTTCCACTTTTGTCCTGAATAACTCAAGATTACAGATTAAATGCTGTATGTTTGCACACATATGTCTTGATTAACTTAATGCTCCTGCATCTTTCACCTCCCTGTGCACAAAATCAGAATCCAATTCTACGGTGCAGCAGGCAAACAGGAAGGAGAAATTATGCTATTCACAATATAATATGCATAGGTTCTCTTATCACTTGATGTAAGATTTGAGAGATGTTATCTTAGTAAAACTACATGGCTGAGGTTTGTGTAGATACAGGTTCCTTCACATCAGAGCCCCTCACACACATTCATGTGGGGATGAGAGCAGGGAGGTTGCTCCACTGCCCACAGGCATTTAGTGCAGACCAGCTGGGTGTGTATTTATATCTTTCAGATGCAGAGGGCAGAGGAAGGTCAGACAAGAACGACACGAGCAGCTCTCAGAATCGCATGGCCCTGCAAGGCAGAAAAGCCCTGCCAGCCTCGCAGTGCATTATTCACACAGGAAAACCTTTCAAATAGCAGAAAAATAAAAAGCTGGCCAGTGCCATGCCTTCTTCACACATCCTTCCTTCCCTTCACATCTACAGTACATCCCTGCTAGATCCCTCTTCTACCCAAACAATACTTTAGGTACTCTGAGTGTCCACCCTGACCTCCCCTCATTTCTTTCTTCCCTGCACACACAAAATTCCATTCCCTTCTCTCATTGTTAATCCTGCCTCTCCAACAGAAAGCTCTTCTCTCCAGCTCCTGCTGCACCCCGTCTATCTTCTTAGGAATTGAATCAACTGCAGCTTCATCAGATGTATCCAGATTTGAGTGGAAATTAAAAAAAAATAGAATGTACATAAAAGAGATACTCAGGTTCAGAACAATACTGCAGTAAAATAGAAGTGTGTTTCATTGTGGGTTTTTTGAGATCATGAATAGTTTTTTCAAAATCAAGAACATACAATCAAAAAGCAGAACGATGGTTTGTACAGGTGCACCTGAGACTACTCCACATTAGTTAGGTTGGATACTAAGGACAAACTGCAGCACAATTTTCAGGCAGACTACCTGCTCAACACATCAGTGTTTCAGGCAAAAAGCCTAAACTGGACTCCCTCCTCTCCTCYCTCCTCTCATCACTGAGACTGGTTAACTGAAAGTTATTTAAATAAAACACAGTTTTACCTCAAGTTATACTGATTATTTGTTTTATCTCACATCTTGAGTTCAAGGTAGGATAATCTGCAGTCATTTCAATGCACTGATCATATCTGTTCTAAGTTTCATGGAGATTAATACTACATGTCTGATGGAAGCCCATCAATTCTGATTAGTCTATCAACTAATTAAAAATCAGTTTCAAATTCTTTTTAGCTACCACAGGAAACAGAAGAAATCAAACATTAAAYAAGTAAGAAATCAAGAAAGCATAGTAAATCACCACTCAACACTTACGGGGTACAAAGTCTGTAACTTTTCAATACCTGAGTTGGCAAAACCAAGCAAGACTCACCACACAGCAGCTAAGATTTTTGCAAAAGCAAATTAAAGTCCCTGCACAGAACAGAAATAGGGATTTCACTGCAGATCCACAGTCTAAAAGCAGAGACTACTGCTTCACTTGAACCAGAAGGCTACTACACTTCAAAAAATCCTTCAAATCTTGTAACACTTTTGGTAAGCTACTTTTATGCTTCACTGTGCAAATAACTGTTTACTTCCTTGCAGGTGCTAACCCACAATTTCAGTACAGTCTCTTTCTTTAAGCCTCCTACAGACAGAGTGCTTGTCTTTAACATTCTATTTATCCTTACCATTTTGTACACAAAAATAATASGCAATACACAGGYTGTTCAAAMYACAACATAATTCTGTGAGATAAAGGAGAAGGCAGCTGCAATCTGACAATACAGTTTAGCAAGCAGTCTATTTAGCAGTATAAATATAATGTAAAYATATAAATATCAGTATAAATACAAYAGKTACATATTTACTCTTTATGGAACATAAGCACATTATACTTGTACATTAATATACAATGTACATACAAYTTATTCAATATTTGACCAATTTTTAAGTAATCTTCCCACAGAGCTACGGGGACAGGAATAAACACAGATTGGGCAGGTATCATGGTGCTGAATGATCTTATAAAAATGATGATGAGTAGTTTCRTGATAAGATCAGGAAGTGAGGCAGCTGCTATGTGGAAACTGATCTACAGAGACCAAATATACCTCATCTTTTGKGGTGTACTAAAACATCTTATTTGGGGGGTTTGGCTATTTTGGTTTTACTTTTTCAAACTTTTCGAAAAAACACTTTTAGCAACAACTTACTTTCAATTAGCACAAGTTTCTAAATACAACATAGGATTAGCAACAGCAGCTGTTTGCTCCCCGTCAACTAAACTGTCAGTCAGATGAGCTATCAGATTTTACTTTAGGTTGCTGATTCAATGAGATCTGACCCCAACCTATGCTCAAATTGGAGGCAAACAAAAATTAGCTTCTGGAAGTAAGCACAAAGGACACAATGCTGGGGCASTGACAAACAGTTGTGAACAGAGCTGTTTTTTATTACAGGCTCTCAAACACTGCTGTTGGGATGGTGATGGAGACAAGTCTTGAAAACAGTAAGTACACTCCACTCAGAAATCATCTTGTGGGTTTTATTTGCCATCCATTTGTATGAAAATGGTACAGCATGGAGAAAACACAAGCAAGGCAGTTCTTGTTTAGGATCAGCACTTGGAATATAGTTCCACTATAGCTGAAAATAAATCACATTAAAATCTAATATAAAAAAATACAGATAAAAATCAGGGCAGTAAACTTTTGAACTTTATTGTCCGATGATACCTTTTTTGTACTGCAGAGCTGTACAAATATCAGTGCTGCTGCTGCTAAGACACAAAGGATGCAGTGATGGTCTGAGCTAAACGAACATTTTAACATTGCTAAAAAMCAGACATCCCACTCTTTTTATTCCTGCTTGCTTCCTGTTCCACTCACATGCCCTCTCTTGCACTGGTTCTGATGCATACTGATTTCAGACCAGGTCTCCTTAAATTATTAAAAGCAGCACAAGACTAACCAGAACATTTTGTGCTAGGTGAGTTACACGGGCTTACTGAGTGATTATACAAATATCACTTTGGCATTAGAAGATTAATCAATCACATGGCTGGAAGGTAAAGAGGAGACCAGAAAAGAACAAAAGCTCAGCATTTGAGTAGCACCACCCAGCTGTCATGAGGACCATGTCCCTGAGTGAGCTGGCTACATGGGCAGTGTTAGAGTGCACTACAAGGGGAAGGCAGGAATGCACAGCCCAGACACACTGCCACATTCACACAGGAAAACCTTGCCCTAAACCAGCCACTGCAAGAAGCATTATCCCTCCTCATTCACATACATCCCGAGATGCCTTGACCCCATTCTCACTTTGGACTAGCAAGATAGGAAATAACTCAGGGTAAAGCTTTTATTTTTATCTCCTAGCTTAACTTGAGTTCTTTTCAGTTCCCTGTCTGTACCTGTAAACTGCTTGCCAAAATATAATGAAAGCACACCAAAAAAGTCACACACTTGTTTAGATCATGTTGAAGTTAAGGGCTCATCACACTGTAACATTAGAAAATAAGGACAGGTGCAACCTCAGATGTAACAGAGGCTGACTTTATTTCCCTCCAAAATAATCCTAATTTGTAATGGGTATGCCCTGTTTCAGACATAGGTATGAGGCAAAGTACAGCCACTCTTCACACTGTCACTGTCTTCCCAGCTTCAGTGCTTTACTGAATCTGAGGGCCAAATTACTACTCCCTCAACTAAGGCTTTTATCATTAGGCATAGTGGCCTTCACAGAGCTCATATAAGGATGAGCTTTACTACGTTCTACAGGTCCAGCAAATAACGCAGGAAGTGGCCAACTCCACACATTACTCACTGCCATCACTAGACAGGATCTCCAGGTCTTTTTGGATGACAAAACCTAATACAAGTCCACATGTCATCACCAAGCCCCATAGCTGGATTATCCCACAAGGCACTCTCCTAAATCAGTTACAACGTGATGTAGCCATTACCAGGTCAAAYAGGTAATGTTAATTGGCAAGAACTCTGCATTAATACAACTCAGCAGTAAAAACGATGTAACTTACCAAGTTRTGTGACTGGGGAAAAGCATGTTTCGTGAGGAGCTCAAATATATCTCTTCTACTGTGTCCTTCTTGYTTTAATGCAAACCGTAAATTCCTCATATCCTAAAACAAAGCCATTATCAGTTAGGTGAACCAAAACTGTACRATGCTTCTCTCTGTACAAGTGCTATATTATATACTAAACATGATCTGGAATCTGCTTGGACACACCTCAAACCCTTGTGACTATTCAGTTTTATTTCTTACCCTATATAATAGAATAGAGTGTAAGAATTGTACAAATAAAGCTGTACCATACTCTGCTGCAAGCGCCACTTTGGCATGAAGYTGTCAGAAATGCTCTATTTGATTCACTATTCAGTCTCATGAGCTATCAAAAGTTTGCAGAATGGGAGTTACTGTGTTTTCAAAACAACCATTTGCCAATAATCTGTRTAGAATATATTGCTCCTATTTTCCCATCACTGGGGTCAAAAATCTGTGATCTCCATGTTAACAGCTAAGAATCAAATGTGCACAAACTCAATTAATGAATCCKGTAAAATACCCTGAATCATCCATTGGGGACTGCCCTATGACCATATTTTTTCACAGAGACATAATTTTCTGTAAGACTATAGATATTTTGTACGTAAGTTTTTCACTGACTTTATAGTTTAGAAAGACCCCATTTGAGGTGTTCTTCAAAGATATCAGAATTGTTAAAAAGATTCCTTTCAGAACAAATAAGCATGCAGGAATAATACCCTAAAATACAGCTACTGTGCAAAACCTTGTCAATCAGTGATTTGGAAAGCAAAACCAATCCTCCTTACATGCAGARGACAGTTAAACAGCCCTTTATTAAAAAGGTATTTCCCTGCCCAGTTTCAAAAAGCTCCTTTTAAATTCAGCTGTAAGCATGTACTTTTTCCTYCCTATAAATAGGTAATCAGTGAAAAAAGGAATCTCTAGATTTCATTTCCGACTGAATTACTGGAAAGTCTTACTTTACAGGTTATATCTAATCCATAAGAGTTCTCTCCTCTGCTTGAAGCTCCTCCCATTTTTTCAATCCTTGAAATTACACCCAAAGGAACATCCAATATCACTACTGGATCCTGTAAGAAAAGTTTGAGCAAGGAAAAAAGATTAACGTGAAAAGAAGACTCAAGCATAATATTCTTATGCATTCCTGAGTAAAAAGCAGACATGAGATACATGCAGGAAAAAGCATGTTCTGCCTATGAGTGTCCTCTCTCAACATGTCATGAAATATGTACAGTCACTCTACAGCTTTGAGYATCATCCAATTTAACTTGCTACAAAAATAYTTCATGCCTTGTTCAGTATGGAGGGGAAATGGTAGTAACACCCTAAAAGATGCCTTCTGCTAAAAGGTGCCTAAAAKATGCTAATACTGGTTGCCCCTGCTTGCTAATATTGCTTTATTCATAAATAGCATAAAGTAGAACTCAATGAAAAAAGAGATTAGTAGAACAGTTAGCTACAGCCAGAAAGAGCTCAGTTCCATAGTCCCAAATCCCTATTTAAAAAAAATAATGAAACAATGAAAAATAATGAAAATTATGAAACAATCACAAGCACATTTTATTCTGTTCCATGACACTGCTTATTAAACACATTACCACTCCCCCCACCCACATAAAGTTCTATTGATCAAAGTATTTTTATTTTCTAACAGCAAGGRCAATCAAAGTCTTGGTTTACTGACAGCCATTTTAAGAACTATTGCACATCATTAGTTGATGCCCTTGATCTATCACAGATTAAGTGCAAAGGGAACAGCTATCAAAAAAGGCTCTGACAGACAAAAGATAAAGGTATCAGTTCAGYGTAAGTAATTAAACTGTAATTTTAACAGGCAAAAATCACTCATTTACAATACATTTAACTTTAAAGAACTTCTATTTTTATATAGATTTCTCAGTGGCACAAAGGCAATTACTATTTTGTCATTACAAAATTAAGATACGGATATTACAAACATTACAGACCACTTCAAGCAAAAAGCCTTCCATTCAATTCCACACACATATTGCACCAACACTAAAACAACGGAGTGGCCACAAAATAAATCAAAGGCAGTGGGGGTGAACAGAATGGAGTTTAAAGCAAACCCATCCTATGCCATAACTGTGGCATATTACTCACATTTTCCACACTTCTTAGGTACAGCCTGTAGTTTGTGATGTACACTCKTCCTTTAACGGGGCCATTAAATGGACACATATAAATAACTTCCTTGTCTGTAAGAAATGAAATATTTCTTAAAAGATTGTGAAAAGACAAAATGAGAGCTAAGGATGGTATCAGTTAAGTAGCAGTAAAATAAAAAGAGAGCTATACTCATGAGAGTCACTCAGATTTATGAATTCAGAAACTAATACATCAGTTTTATCTACTTGAATTATTAAGAAAATGTGAAAGAATCATAYACTAAACTTGCCCAAATTAAGTCCAGAGACTTCAGTAGTCTTCCCTAGTTGTGTTTGTGTTTTCTGTCTCAGCACTACACAGGAGAYGACAGGACATAGAASAGGGAGTACTGTGATTACTGTACCRTAGTCTATTCACCATCCTAGAACAAATACATTGCTGCTACTATTATATCTTTCTGTAAACAATTCTGTACTGAAGTAGTAGTTCAAGCTGTAGAGTGTTTAGGGAACTCACCATGCTGCAGAGAAACATTACATTTCAATTTGAGGCAATCAAACAGAGCAGGACCATCAGCAATGTTTCAGCAAGGGCAGTAACAGAACAAATACTAACACATACCACTCAAAAAGATTTAAGTGAAGCAATGCAATCAGAATCACAGAATCATTAAGGCTGGAAAAGACCKCTCAGACCACTGAGTCCRACCATGATGTTAAAGACTTCCATTTATTTCTTCCTGTCCATTCATTTCTTTAGCACAATTATTTATCTGCCTTCCACAAAAAGTACCCTATTCCAGTTCAGTGCCCCAGAGCACAATTTTCATAAGCATCACATCATACATCCATCTCAATCCCACACCCTCTCCCTCACACCTTGYTCATTAAAAACAAAACTGCTTCCTCTGAATCACCACTATGCTTTCAAATCAGCCAGTTTCGTTTACAAATCCACCCAACAAATTTGGGCACAGGGGATGAGAAAATGCACAAGTCAAAGACAGACCCCAGCAAAGACTTTCATTTCAGGAASAGCCTCCATCAAGAAAGGGAAACGACACAATACATTAATCTCCCTTATATTATAGCATTTCTGTATGTAAAGGCCAACAAGAGCAGAGAAGCCCTGTTTGTGCCCTGTTGTGTCAAGGGAGCATCAGATGGTGTTGTGGGACCCAATACAGATGGTACTTTGGGAATTCACACTTAGGCTTAGATTCCACACTAACCCACAAGGTATCAATGCACAGTGAGTGGCACATCGAATTTTCTTGACTTCAGAAAACTTAGAGCTCTCACCACACACGTGCTACTGAATCGGTAGATACAGTTATGACACGACTTGGAATTTCTTTGTATTGAAAGATCTGCTATGTGTGGAAACTGATTTTAAAGACTTAAAATTACTTGTGATAAATAGTCCCTTTCACAATTTCTTTGAAAAATTCATGACATTTCAACACGACTTACCTTTGACCCCAGCCCAAACCAGTCCAAATAACAAAACAATTCAGTAAGATACAAATGTCTGCCAGACTGCTGAACATCACTGCATCAGGCAGCTATGGAGCTTCATACCTGTAACCCTGGTCTCTCCTGGCAGACGTGGTATTTCTTCATTTTGCTCCCAGTTAGTTCCATCTTTTAGAGTCTAAAGARGAGAAGCACAACAGCATATCACTGTTTATTTATAATTTCAAGTTCCAGATTAAAAATTCAAAAACCAAACTTAAAGGTAATGCCAGCGTGGGAAGGACCAGGTCTTGCCAAAGTAGGAATTCACCAACTGAACCAAAACAGGAACACACTCAACTCTCTTAAAATGCAACTGTGAAACATTTAAAGGTCCAACATTGGAAACGCAAGCAGTTTTTAGTCTTTCTCCTAAAAGACTAGTCAGTTATATTTGTATTAAATTGGAATTGAACCTCTATTGTGTAAGTTCTCTTAAAGTTTTGTACGTTTAATTTTCCAAGTATGCTGGGCCTGGAAGAAGAATTCAACTGAAATTACTTAAGCAATGTACTCCCAACTATTACCCACAATCTACTCATTTGTGACTTTCCCATGTTCAGTAGTTTCTGTTTCCTTGCACTCAGGTTACATTTTCTTCAGCTTTACGGCATTAGAAAGCAGAGGGGGCTGACATTTAGATTGTTTTAATGTATTTTTCAGTGCAGATGAACATCTTAACACAGAGCCAGACAAACATAACAAAGTATAACTTAGCAATCGCAATACAGAATCTTTCTAAAGCAACAAAGTGTCAAAAATTTTCAAGAATGTCATAGAATATTTCAAGGTAGAAAGCAAGGATAAGAGTAAGTACATTAGAACTGATTTTAAGGAGGCTCTCATTMGCTATAATTGAGATTATTTTGCCCATCCACTCCAAAAGATATTTAAATCATCTCAGTTAACTGCATTAAAATTTWAGCAATAAAAATAATACACATTCGAGAAGTCATTTAAATACTTATTTTTCTAACCAAATATGCAAGATAATGATACTGCAAATTCTGATGTAAAAAAATAAAAACATTTCAAAAGTTACACTCACCCGTTTACTTGAGGTGTTCTCCAAGGAATTTGAATTATATTTAGGTGTTGATGATGAGGCCATGCCGGGGATCTGACAAGAAAACACAAATTGGAGACTTAAGCTTCCATCTGAACTACAGACTATTTCAGGAGAGATTTTAGACTTTTGAGGTACACAGGTAGACAACAAGAACTTACAAGAATGCTGTGCAAGCTACTAGTAATTAAAAAAAATTACAATGCCTCATAATTGAAGGTCACTATTCAAAAACATCCAAATCTAACAAATTCACTACTAGCTTTGCAATTGGGTCACACTATAAAGAATATTCTGACTCAATTCTGACTATATTGGAATTCAGATGTTGGAACACRGGCATTAGCTCAGTAAACAGAAATTAAGAGTGCTTGTTTTAAGTCACTGCATACACATATTATGAAATGCAACCTACTTGGAGTATTATTATTGAACAGCTCTTGAAGTCACAAGCATGTCAATACACTCAAGCGTTTCAAGTTTAAAAAACAAAAMAAAAAAAAGCAGGACTTCCACAGTACTTCTCTGCTTAAAAACAATCCCCCATTTCCTCACTGAAGCTTCAGTTAGTACACTAAAAGAGTGAGTGTCCAGCCTTCTGATCTGAACAACCTTCATGTATTTAAGGGAAAAGGATCTTATTTATTTTTAAAATGGTATTAATTAAAGACAGAATCTCATGTGACACAGGATTCATCATCTTAATTTCCCAACATTACACAAGGGGAACTCTAGAACTAACACTGGGARAATACACAGACTTCCCTTTCCCTACTCACACACCCTTCATCAACCAATCTGACATCACACAGCAATCTTGAAGAGGTTCTCTTCATTTGTTTGGGGGAGGAAAGAATTACAGACTACACAACCTTTGTTTCTATTGCACAAATTTATCTTCTGTTTTGTAGTCTTTAAAAAGCACTTTCTGTCACCTCTCAACACTGCAAAGTTTGGCCGAATCTCTGTGCACCCTGACAAAGCAGCCCACACTCCAGCGTAACAGTGACAGTGACACTGCAACAGTCCTGTGACAGCAACACATTAAACTGCAAGAGGCAAAGCGCTTTGATATCACTGTCACAGTACAGGAATGTGTCTGTGCAGGAATAAAGTGGGAAACCACATCCTGAAGTTCTACTGGTTTGTTACCCGAGTCTTCCGTATCTCATTAAGATGACAGGAAACCTGACATTGTGTTTAAAATTGTAATACTCAGTAATACAGCTTATCAGTAAAAAAAAAAAACAACCCACATTGCTCCATTAAAAAAATAGGAATAATGCATATTCAGTTGAAAGACAAAGAAAAAAGCTTTTTAATGCCACAGAGCCTGTGTGACCCTGCTACGCAGAGGTTTCTACTTTCCTTCTGGGTCTCCAGCTACCTCAACTTTCTCCAAACACTGAAACAGGGGCCCTGAACTAATTTTAGTGCAATGCCAGCAATTTCAATGAAAAGCTACTTGCAATCAAAATGAAATCATTGTCCTTTCAAACTATCCTCYACAGAAACACTATTGCAACACTGAAGTCTAGTGTTTTGACCATAGARTATTAAGAGAAAATATTTTCACAGCTTTTCTTTCCTTGCAATATCTTACACACTATATAACTTCAAGTAGATTCAACTTGTGCTTTATTGCTATGCTAACTTGTCACCATCTAATATTTGTTCAAATGACTTTTCTTAATTTACAGAAGTTTAAGGTTTTATAAAGATAAAAGGCATATTTACTCAGACGGTTGTTTAAAAAAAAATCCATAAGAAGTGGCTTTTATTCATATGTTAAGAAAAAAATGCCAGGTGAGACCAAGGCACAGCAGCCCCAGTTCTTCTATGTCAGCAGAAACTAAGTAACTGGAACTTTTAACTGGAGCTCACATAAATTTAAATTAAGGCTGCACCAACCACAAGAGACAAGAGAGCACAAACAAGCCCTAGAAAAGTGACTTTTAAAGGATGTGACAACTCTGAATAGATCTGCACTGCAAAATGGAAATTGTGACTGCAGCAGGTACTGGCACATCCGAGCGGGCTGCTGATCCTGCAACCACAGCTACTCCAGCAGAGAAGCACAGAAGAGCTCAGCCGAGGCCACTTAGGGGCCTGGACACTCACCTCGGTGCCAGCCCACTGCCAAAACTCAGAAAAACAAAAGCTTGTTTGGACACTCCTTACGCCTGCCAATCACAGCTCACACARGGAACAGCACCAAGTGTTTCAAAAGCCTTCCGTTTCCTCCTTCGCTTGCTGAATTATTTCCTCTCTTTACTGCACATTCATTAAGTTTTGGCTGAACTGTACCATTGCATGAGGTGAGTTAAGATTCTGAAATAATCCAAAACACCGACTATAATTCATACTGAGATGTGGAAAAGTCAAAAGAAATAGGCAGAGATCSTTTCAGGTTCTCAGAAGAACTTCTCTTTGGGGAACCTGACAACACAGCAGGACAGAACKTCCCTCCCCTCCACGCTGCCACTCCACCAGGCCACTTCAAACAAACAAGATGTGTGTGGGTCTTGCAGCGGACGTTTGTGTGTGCTTCCATGTAGGCAAGTTTATTTTGTGTAAGATTCCCCCAACTCTCCATGAGATCCATTTCTTTAAACACACTTTACAGTGGGAATAAATTCATTATCTGACTTCAATTTCTACAGAAAACTTCACTACCACAACTACTCCATTTCATTTCCAACACTTTAATGATGCAAATTAGACTTATTCAGAGCTAATCAAGTTGAATAAATATGTAATGAAGATAAGGTGTTATCTGTCATGGCATTTTTTTAAATCCATCAAACATTTTCACTATAAATAATGTGAGTTAATTTCATCAGTATGCAAGTGGAAAAATTCTTCTAATGCTACAAAAATTTTGCTTTGAAATCCAATCATATCCAAAAGTCCCAAATACTAATAAGCGTATTTATAACCACCCACATCTCTGTAAGTGAACTACGTCCTAGTAAWTAATTATAGAGCAGTCATTAGACAGTGTTTAGAGTAGGGCCCTCTTTTGGACCCCAGTACAAGACAGGCATGGATAAATTGCAACAAGTTCAGCTGAGGCTCCCCAAGAGGAYCAGAACCTGGARCACCTGCCCTAYRGAGAGRCTGAAGGAGTTGGGAATTGTTCAGCCTGARGAAGAGACARCTTSAATGGGACCTCAYAGCTGCCCACTGCTATCTTTGAGGTAGTTGCTGAGAAGGCAGAGCAAGGGTCTTYAAAGTCCTAAGTGACAAGATACAAAGAAATCCGAACAAACTAAATTCCAGCTTGATTTCAGCTAAAAAAACAACAAAAACCTTGCTTTTGCACCATAAAGCAGTCAGGYTGTGAAAATAGGGCCCAAGGAGATTGCAGTATTCCTCTTCAGAGGTTTCAGTTAAATAGAGCTTTGAGTAACTGGGTCTGATCCTGCTTTGAGCAAGGCACTGAACTGGAGGCCTCCTGAAGTCCCTAAGAACCTGGATGATGCTATGCTTCTGTGCTYATCAGACAACAGGCAAGATTAAGTTCTCATTAAAAGTACCCATCAAATAAGGAAGTGGACCTCTCTGCATCAAGAGAAAACTTGCAGCGGACATATCAAGAAGTCTTCAGAAACATTTAAARCAAACACAAAATGTTTCCTTTTATAATCTTATTTCTTCTTCTGTCTAATTCTAGAAGCAGCTTCTGGCAGCCTCCCAAAGTAATATTGCCATGAACAATTCAAAAAACTTACTTCACCATAGTCTTAAAATAGCTACAAYTTTCTCATTATCACAGACCAGCAGTAGTCCTTCCACACAGGCAGAAATCTTGCAAGTAGTTTTCCACTGCAAACACATTTTATTCTCCAGCATCACCCCTGTGTACTTCTMTACTTGCACAAAAACTGATAACCATACAAAGCTCATACTTGTCAGTAGCTGAACAGAAAGATAATTATTCTGCAAATTAAAAACAAATCTGACAACTCTGTTTATGATATTCTGCAATTACAAATAGTTGAACATTCTTCCCTGAGTCTAGAATAGCAAGGAGACAAAGCATTTTTACTGGCTTTAATTTGAGCTAATAAACAAACCTTTGTTAAAGTTATCAGAACTTAATATAGTAACACTATCAAGAAACGTAGACTCCAATGATCTTAAAATAACAATTAAACTACTTGGAATCTGTATTTTCATTAAACATGATATTTATACTTGTGCTTCCTAGGATTCATGGGAATGGAGACACAGAGCAACATCTGAAATGTATGCTGGTGGAGTTTTCTTTGCTATAGTAACAGCACAGAGTCCCAGTATGAATATATTGCCTTGTGTTTCCCACAATAAAATTAAAAGYATAAAATACAAAACCAAAGCCACGTCTGTCAGAACCACAACTGCACAGAAGAGATAATATTTCAGAAATAATATACAGAATAGACCAGAACCCTAGGAATTTCTAAGACTACCAAAATTAAGCCAGAACTATGAAGGAAAAAGGGGAARAAAGGTATTAAGCAGAAAAGAATATAAATCCTTCACAAAATATTTATGTAAAAGCAGCAGTCCTGAAGTGTCAAGCCAACAACAGCATCTAAGTTATCAGAGTCATCAAAATAAGCATCAGCATCTTTAACACCAGTAAAYAGGTATTTAATCTAATGAAGCCAAGAGTAGCCATTCATCTCAGCAAAGGTTAATAAAATTTTAGGGTAAGATATAAAGGGACACAAAACAAGTCACAAGAAAGATCTAAGGCAATGAAGGCACTTTTCCAGACATCAGCTGTCCCTAACCAAACCGCACCAATCAAACAAAATGGAACACAGCAYGACAGAAGTGCCACAGCCAACTAATCAAGTTCACAGAAATAAATGCTTCTCTTTCAGGCTCATTTAACCAGTGTAGCAGAAGGCAGAGCATTCCAGTTTCAAAAAAGTTAAAACATGTAAACAACTAAAACCCCACAGAAAATCCACACCAGAGAAAAACTTGCTGATACATATTTCCAAAAGAYATAAACTCAACAACAATTTCCTGCAAAGGTGAAAGATACCAGTGCAGGGGG